CCCCCCATTTTGTTTTTCCGGCATGCCGGCACTCTGGCACCTTCTAAAGTACACGTCATGGTTTTTTCGGCACTCCAGCCAAAAAATGTTGCCTACTCCTGGGCTAGTGTTTAAGAAGCTAGACTCATTTCTCTTCCTCCTTTGCACTGTTAGTTTCCACTACCTGAACCTCAGTGAGATAGTCTGCAGATCCCTTTTACTCCAGCACCAAAAGACTGGGATGAAACCACTTCACTGGGAAGCAGAGGTGTTGGGAAGGTGAAATCAAATCCTGAAACACTGACTCCTTTGAGTGCATAATAGGCTCACCGTGCAGCAGAGAAAAAGGAGCGATCCACCTCAGGTCAGCAGAACCAGTGCAATATTGGAACTGAGGGAAGAGATGGACTGGCTTTCCTTCCTTTAATAGTGGGGCAGGTATTTTGCTGCTCTGCCATGGTCATGGCGTGGGGAGCTGGGATGGCAGAAGGGATCAAAGCCCCATCAGATCAGCTGAAAAAACTATTAATGCTTCATTTTTGGAACCTGCAGTTAAACAGCACAGCTTCTGTCTGCACAGTAGAGAAAATAAGTCACTTTTTTCCCAGCCACCAATGGCCTTTTTGGCCTACAAGGCTTTTCTATAAAATACTGATTTTGAAATATCATGATCCTGTTGGTAAAAGCAAGCCCTATCCTTTATGAGTATTAAACTACCATTTCCAGTTCATCCATCCCTTAACTTGCAGGAAAATGCAGGCATTACAGTGACGCAGGAACAAGACTTTGCAAGCTAACCCCATTTAGGACTGCATATGGCATGTGCCTTCCCCTCCAAATATGAAAATATCTATCATCCTAATCACTGTTCCCTGGAGATTAAAAACATAACTGAACAAGACTGGCAATAAACAGTGTATGTGTATATAAGGAAAGGCACTGCATCATTGCCAGTACATCAGTTCAGTTAATCTCCACAAGACTGTTAAAACCTGATAAAACTTGTTACAAGCTGTTTATAATGTCCAAACGTTCTTTTAAGTTTGCAAAAGGGAGTGGAAAAGCCCTCCAGGGAAGCTCCACGTGACACTAACAGTCAGCAGCGTAGATTGCAAAGTACAATTGGACCAGAATTCAGAGAGCTGAATGCCCAGGTGCACTGGAGGTAGCCCAGCCTTTTACTATACTCTAGTCCTGAGGGCAAACTCTTTGGCTCCCTTCTGTAAATTGCACTGGCTTGTAAGGTCTCTGAACAGGCAATTATGATGGCAGAAATTGGTGGGTTGCGGTACATTCCAGCCCTGCTGTCTTCTAGCACCTGAGATGCCCCCTACCCAAGAGGCAAGGAATAAAAAAGCTAGAGGAAGTCTCAGCTGCCCACTGGGAGTACCTTTACATCCACTTTGTGTTACTACAATGGACCCAACAGGGCTGGACCTCAGACCCAGATTGCCTACAGGTTGATGTTTTCACTCAGCAATGCTCCTAGTGTGGGTGATCACAAAATGAAGAGGTGCTTCAAACACGTCTCCCAAATAAAACTCTTTACCAAAACCATGCCCAGCAGGAATAAATCCTTGGCTTTTGCCTCATCTTTCTGATGCAGCTGATGGACCTGATGAGACAAGGAGGCTTACCTCACTTTGAAATGCTGCTATGATTAAACTGATCACTTTTCTAGCCCACCTTCCAGTTTGCTGAGAGGATTTATACAGTGAAGTCTTTTAATAAAACAACTACTTTTTTATCACCACACTTCTGTTTTTGAATCAAGCAAAATTAAGTGGATAAATCTTTTTATTTCAAAGAGAGTATTAGGTGTTATCTGGCCATCGTAAAATTGTTGCCTTTTATTGACCTTGTTGTAAGACTCTCAGAGCCATCTGTTTGATTGCAACCTCTTGATAAAATCTAGTCAAGCCTAGTCAGACAGCCAAGCTCACTTTGTCCAGACTCACCTCTGTTTGCCCTACTTGGAGCAAGTGTGATACATTAACGCGGAGTCTAGGACATCTTCTACGTGCAGCTATTACAGGAAGCTCGCCTATTAGAAAACAATATAATAAGCAACAAGGGAGTACATGCCAGGAGCAGTCCTCAGGGGTGTAATGATGTAAGCAAAGAACACGCAAGATAGCATCAGATGCCAAAAAATATTTTACAAGGTTAAGTTATTATAGAAGTGCTTGCTAGGGGAGGCCTAGAGTACAGCTAAAGGTGTGTCAGCTTTTACAAAATCACCTGCTGGGTGTCATAAATCCATCTTAAGAACGAGCTCAAGGCTGAAACTGAGCATGAGGCCTTGATCCAAAAGGAAATACAGGAGGAAGGACACCCTGGTGTTTGAAGTGCAGGGCTGAGTTAGAAAACCTAAACTCTCTTCCTTTGGCTTTACCACATGTTTTTTGATTTGAAGTAGGGGTGTCATCTGGTACACAGGGCTTCTGGAGGGGCATGGATTTGAAGGGTAGGTAAGTGGTGGTGGTATTAATCCCCATGGCTCCCTGACCTGCTATATCGGTACAGGGAGCCATAGCAGATAATGCCCCAGTGCCAAATTCTAGCATACCAAATGCCGTTGGCAACTCTTTTTTGGCAGCAGCAGGGCAAGGAACAGCTGTGTTAACCCCTGTGTCTCCCTGAACCAATATAGGCCTGTCATTCACCCCATCAGTGGAAGTGGTTCTGGATCCAGCCCATGAGGAGCCCCACAGTCTGAAGGCAGGCCAGGGGGCCAAGCAAGTTGGAGCCCCCTGACTGAAAGGATGGAAGATCATAAGGCATGTCAATATGGCTTCCTTCCAAACCTGGGTCTGCTGCTAATAAAATGAGCCCTGGCCACTGGCTTCTGCCCAGGCAATCAGACAGAAGAGATGTCCTGAGATGTGCACACCTTAGCATCATGCTCAGAAACAGGCTGCAAGCCGTGCTGGGTACAGGGCATTCAGGTCCACCCTAAACTGCTTTGAGAGGCTGCTGAACTATCTGTTCTGCCTAACTGTTGGTTTCAGTCATCTGAGCAGGAGGAAGTTGTCAGGTCTTGCTTTGTCAATGGTACATTTGGGGCCTTTAGTGACCTTTAAGTTATTTGGCCTTTAGGTGACCATTTGTATTATTCCAGTCATACTGGTCTCACTGTCCATCTGCTGCCTCTGCTCATAGACTTCAGATTGTGAGTTCTTTGAGTTGTGCAGTGACTTTGTATTTTGTGTGTGTACACCTCCTAGCACAATGGGATCCTTGACTGGGGTCAGTAGGTTTTTCTACCATACAAATACAGAACAGCAATCATAGCAATACGGGTAGGTCCAGGAAGGTGTAGAGAACAGCACAGAGAATGCCATGAAGGGTGCTGTGGGAGAAACCAATGAGGGTAGAGTCTAATTGCTGTCTTAGAATATGTACACTTGCTGATTAATGCCCTTGCTTTATAACTGAACATTAGCAGCAACCATAGCAGCTTCAGCTTTCCCAACAGGTATATTTATGGTTTGCAGAATGTTTTAAATAGCCTCAGAAAGAACATGGATGGGGTTCTGGAAAAAATATTAAAAGAATGAGGAGGAGGCTCAGTGGCAAAATTAAATTGCTTTCATTAAAAAAATAACTAAAAAAAAAAAGAAAAAAAAGTGTGTGGGAGGAAGGGGGAAGCACTCTGCCAGTAGAAAGTTAATTTCTTTCATCTTGGCTGGGCTGAGCTCTATGTGGGTGCAGCTCTTGGCTGGGCGCCCAGCAGCGTAGGTGTTGTTCTCTAAACAAAAGTTCAGGGCTGCCAGATGAGCCATATCACCTACACAGGGAACTTTGGCCTTTAAGCCTCCCAAACGTTTGCTTCACTGGGACAAATACAAATGTTCTGAGTTAGCCTTTATAAAACTAAATGAAAACCCCTTGCCTGAGTGCATCTTGACAGCAGATGAAGACTATTTTATTCAAAGCTGTTCACTGCCAGAGAGATGTAAATGTCAAGTGTACAAGACAGGACTGTGAATGAAGATTTACAGATAGGCTGAAGAAGGTCAAAGGGAAAAGGGCGAGCTCACAATTTTGGGAGGCTGTGAATTGCCCTTTTAATGAGTTTCTTGGGCTTTTTGATCATGAGCACTGCAGCACAACAGTCATGCTGGAATAGGATAGGGATCTGGCTACACCCTACCTTGAGCTGATTCTGCTGTATGCCATTTGTTGTTGCAGCTGTAGAATACAAGATCTACGGAGAGCTCAGATGTTTACTCGGCACGTTGTACCTGTCCAGGGTTCCATAAAAAGATCATAAAAATAATAATGATGTGACATGGTGCCAGCACATCTCATCACAAATCTGCGTCATTCTGGGGCATATCTAAGGCAGGAGAGCACATCCACATCTGGTATAAAGAAAGAAAATTGAAGCAGCCTTCTGTTAACTGAGCAGAGATAAGCAGGAAAGGTGCAAACTGTTCCTTTTATGGGACTGAGGGAACTCTGCCCTTGCATGCTCAACCTAGCTGTAAACTCTTCTTAAACAATTGCCTTTTACAAGATCATTGGACTGGGTCAAGCTACCTTGCCCAGAAAAGAAATTGCTCGAGATTGGAACCAAAGCAAAATCTCCTCGGGTTAGGGCAAATTCACCTCAATTCAAAGGACTGCATCATATAGATACAACTTTTTTCCCCTCTCTTCTTACAGCTATGGTTTTCCTGGGATGTCCAGATCATATGTCTGTGGCCTCAGTTATGCCTAACAAGGCCTATGTAGGATTTCATTTTTCTTTACAGATGTATAAAAAAAGCACTTTCCACATACAAGGCAATACATTTTCAGCCAACTTGAAACCTGCCCTCCCTGTGTTTTGTTGGAGCAAACTGAACCAAAGGAATGGATGGTTTTATAAAATACTCCAAAGGCTCTTTCTTGTTACATCATTCAGATAATAAAGGGCAGCTTAAAACTCCAACCACTTTGTTTCACTGGACATCTATTTGCGGTGGACAGGTTCAGTTGGCACAGCTCCTAAGAGTGAAGCCATAGCGCTAAAGCTCCCACTAGTTCAAAGCCCATCTGCTTGGCAAAAGCCAACACCTTAGGGCCCTCTCCTATGTATAAATATTATTTAAGGTTTCTATCCTTACATTCAAAGCCCTGCATAGCTACCTGGGGGATAACCTCTCTATCACCACATGACTTGCCATGAGAGCTACATCCTGTTAAAATGACAACAGTTGACCAACAGGGAGATCTTCCAACAGGAAGATGGGAGAGAGAATTTGTAGGAGCGAAACCAGTTCACTTCTCCCTTTCAGCATCCCCTCGCTTGCACTGTATAACACAGGACAGCGGACAAGATGGTCTAATTTAGTAAATGGCAGTTCTTATCTTCTTATAAGAAATGAGTACGGACTGTGGACCTCACTTTTACATGAGACTTTTACCCTGCCTTCTATGCTTTCAGAATTAAAGGTACTATTCATTTCTTTTACTTTGTTGTCCTTCAGTTTCTTTGCATCCCCTATCAAGCAGCCCACCCATGCATATATACAATCTTTATCATGAAAACTTACAAACTAATCATGTCATTCCCCCTACAGGCTGGAAACAGGCAAAGGAGAAGCTATCACTGTTATTTCTATTTTTAAATACTTGGAAGGTATTGTTTCTACTTATGAGGCCACACAGACAGTGTACAATAAACACCACCCCTGGTCCTTGGCCCAAGCAGCTGTTGGTAGGCACTGACTGGCAGTGTTGCAGAGAGTGCACTCAACACCTCCTGCCTCACCCCTGCCAAAAAACCCCCAAACACGGTGAGAATATAGGTGTAGGTGGAAAACCATGGGTGTGCTGGCAGAAAAGTTATGTGGATACAAAGTAAGCTGTGCTTTTTGTTCAGCTGATTGTGCCTAAACAGACACAAAATCCTAATTGTAGTCTTAGCATATATGGGCCTACCGGCTCCAGTACACAGGAGATCCTTAGGCTGGCAGGGAGCCTAGTATTTTTGATGGATGCTTTGAAGTAATCTGAGGTTTGTGAATTTCTGGACTTGTGGCTAAAGAGGCATGCTTGTTATTTTGCTGTATTTGGAACCTTTTATAATGAAACCTTGAAGGAAAAATCATTTCTGCCTGAGAATAATTTGTGTTTGGCATCTGAGGAGGAGCACAAGAGTTAGTTCAAAGTTTAAATATTGAAGCATGACAATATTTTGTACAATACAGGCTATTTTAAAAACATTTAATTCCATCAGCTCTATGTTCATCCATGATATATCACTGCCTTGTTCTGGCTAGTTCTTCTCTCTGCCCTCTTCTCTCACATAGGAAACTTTCAATTTTTGGAAACTTATGACTATGGAATCGTCTTTCCTAACTCCATTTTAAGCCATGATTGGAAACCAGTGAGAGATGCTGATTCCTGGGCACTTCTGAGAACATACCCACTCCTTCAGGTTTGTAGTTTTCAGACTTGGCTCTTATTTTTAAAAGTGCTTGAAAGTTTCCATACAAGGCAATGAAAAGCAAGCTAATTTTGGGTGCCTAAATATGGCCTGGCTTTGGGCACCCATTTTTTAAAATTTTGGCCCACAAGTCTCCACTATATAAGGATGTATATCCTCTTTTATTTACTGTGCTGTTAAGCCCCTTTCAACAGCATGGTTTTGCTTTGCTGTGCGTGCATCAGTTATATAAAATCTTTGTGCCACGAATCATTTTGAGCACTCTTCATGACTGGAGGCATTTATTTTTCCTCCTTGCTTTTGATCTCCCCAAGACTGTTATTCCTGCAGTAGCAAAGTTATTTGCCCTTTAAGTCTAGCATGTGGTAATCCACAAAATCCATGATTCATAATGAAATTGGCTTCACTCCTAAGGAGTTTAGCGGTTGTCTCAACCCAGTGCAACTGGCAATTTTGGCACAGAGGAGTTGTAACCCCTCCTTGAAGTAATAACGCCTGAAGTGTTGGACAAACTGGGCAGCTGATGAGAAGCAGTTTAAAAATGCTGCATAGTGCAGTGCTATATAAATGAGTGTGTGCTTTCATTTGAGCCTGCATGGCTGAGCTGAGCAGTGACTGATGTTTTAGTATTTGCACTGGATGAAAAACTAATGTCAGAGCTGGACTTGTGGCACAACACTTAGCTCTGAATCTGTTCTTCCCCAAAATCTGGAGTGCTAGAAGGGAGATGAATAGCTTAACCCAGTCTGGAGATGGTAGGGTGTTATGAAGTTCAAATCCATGTCTGAACACAGAACTTCCATAGCTAAAGTATCAGACTGTACATCTTGAGCTAAAGGGGAAAAGCCATGGTTTTTCAAGGAACAGCAGAAGGAAGCAGTTAGGTTCTACACAGGCACAAGGGGCAATCTCTCTTGAACAGCTGAGGGCTCAGAACCAATTTTTTATAGACATTTCAATTATTTTACCACTAAAGTCCTTTTGTAAATCGTTCAGTCAGTCCCTAAGAAACAACCATGGCAGATGCACCTCCTCTGCAGGTTAGATGCAGACTGTGGCATGTAGCTCATGCTGAGCAGTGGGTTACAACATATCTAAATGATCATAATAAAGTAAGATAGACTGAATCCTAACCTGAATCCTTCACAGTGTCTGCAGGACTGCTACTTTAAACAGAGTTGTTCATACTAAACTACATATTTTGCTACATCAAATATTAAGTGAAAAAGAATGTTAAATAGAGATGGCTGGAAAATCCTTGAATAAGTTATTTTCTGTTTGAGAAATGCAGTTCTGCTTTCAACGAAGTGTTTGGACATCAACAATGGCAGTGGGGTGCAGAGCCCCAGCCCACAGTGGCAGCCTGCCTCTGCCCAAAACACAAATCCAGGGGGCATGTGCCTCCCATGCCTCCCCCAGGGTATGCACAGAGGCAGAGCATACCCGCATCCCTGGATGAGCCACCTGCAGTTTCAATCATCCCACAACCTGCCCTGGGGCCCCATTCACCCCAGCCCCGATCCCTGCCTCTGTCCCCACTCCCTCCCTCCCCATGGGGGCCTCAGTCTGCCCCCACAACATCTCTTCCCTCCCCCATGCCCCTTCCCCTTCACAGACTTGACTGCTGAGCAGTGCTCCACATGTCACCGGGCTGCATTCCTGGCTGCCTGCAGGCTGCAGCTGCATGTCTGTGTCTGTGCTTACCCCTCCCTACCCTGTTGCAGCCTCCTGCAGCCCACGCCCAGGCTGCCCTGTGGTCCTCTGTGCTGCCACTGCTGCCCCATAGGGCAGCCTGGAGGTGGCAGTGACAGCAGTGGAGCAGAGTCTGGGCACGGGCTCCAAAACCACGTGTGTGATTAACACATTAAAAAATTAACACGAATAAATGATTAACGCATTAATCTTATGTTAACTGTGATTAATTAACAGCCCCAAATATTATATAATATATTGATCAATTCAGAAAAGCAACTACCCTAGGCAGCAGTTGGCAGTTTTCAGACTGTGGGCTGGACTGACCCAGCTCAGGTCAGAGGCAGAGAGGCAGTCTGGCTCTAGACTTGACCATCACTGCTTCTCCCCACCATGCCATGGGGGAAGGCACCTGCTACCACCCAAAGCAGCACAGGACCTGCCACCGAATGCCACTGAAACCCCACATCCAAGGGCCAGAACCAATGGCCCTGCACACTGGATCTGGCCCATGGGGTTTAGATTGCCAACCCCTGATCTAAGACATCTACTATTGTGGAAAAATTTTAAATCTTCTGGTTTTGTCCTGGTTCAGAAAGAAGCCAAATCTGGAAATCCTCTGCACAGCAAGATTTCTATCTTGTGCACACCTCTAACATTACAGTTAGAAAATGATGCACTAGAAAGTGAGCATGTGTCAGCTAGACAGTATGAAACAATGTTTATATTATGTGATTGCATACAATTTTTTCCATATTCAGTACAAAGAATGAGCAACGCTCAGTGAATAAACAACGATGCAATATTTGTTTTAAGTGTTTCTGTACCTTATTTACAGCACATCCTGGCATCCTCAGAAATTTTCTGTGATGCTGATTGTAGCATCTTAGTTCTTTACAAACCTTAAGTGCCCCATCCATTCTGGATTCATCTATACAAGACACTTAACTGTGCAGAACCAGAGTTTACTGTGCAGTAAGCATGTGCATCTACATGTGCACATGCCTACTACACAGTAAATCTTGCTAATCGTGAGCAAACTTGCTACCTGCAAATGCAAGTAGGAAATTTACTTTCAGTTAGAAATGGCACAGTAGCACTCATGTAGATGCCTGGCCAGGAG